CCCCAGCCCCCACCATGGGTTTTCTGTCTCTCTGGGTCTGAGTCCTCCAGGGACCTCGTGTGGGATCCTACAGGGTTTGTCCTTCTGTGACTGGCTTATGTCACTCAGCATCATGTCTCAAAGGTCATCTGTTGTGGCAGGAGTCAGAAATCCCTTTTAGGGCTGGGTGTTGACCTGTTGTGTGGATGGACCACGTGTGGTTTATCCGTCCTCTGTGACGTCAGCCCTTAGCCACTGTGACTGATGCTCCTCTGAACTCTGTGTACAAACATCTCTGGGACTCCGATCTCCATTCTTCTAGGTGCCTGCCCGGGAGTGACGCTGCTGGCCACGTGGTCACTTTGCAGTTAGCTTTCTGTGGACCCTCCATGCCGTTTCCACAGCAGCTGCACCCCTGCATTCCCACCACCAGTGAACCACACCCTGGGCTGCAGTTCCTCCACACCCTCACCAACACACATTTTTTTCCATGTGTGTTTAATTGAGGTGTAATCGACAATTTTCTGTGTGTAGTTTTTTGTGTTTTTTTTTTATAGTAGCCATTTTAATGGGCATGAGGTGCTATCTCACTGTGGTTTTGACTTTCATTTTCCTGGTGCCTAGTGATGTTGAGTGTCTTTTCATGCTGGCCATCTGTATGTCTTTGGAGAAATGTCTATTGAGATGCTTTGCCCATTTTTTAATCTGGTGGTTAATATTGAATTATAGAATTCTTACATATTCTGGATATTAACTTCTTATCAGATACATAATTTGCAAATATTTTCTCCCATTCCTTAGGTTGCCTTTTCATTCCATTGATTGTGTCCTTTGATGCACAGAAATTTTTATTTTTGAAAAGTCTGATTTATCTATTCTTTTATTGCCTATGTGTTTGGTGTCATGTCCAAGAAATCACTGCCAAATCCAGTGTCATGGAGCTTCCCCACTGTTTCTTCTAAGAGTTTCATAGTTTTGGATATTAGATTCATTCTGAGTTGACTTTCTGTATCTAATATGACGTAAGGGTCCAGCTCCATTCTTTTGCGTGTGGATGTCCCGTTTTCCCAGCATCATTTGTTGAAGGATGCTATTGCTTTACTATTTATTGCACCTACAGCATGCACAATAAAATTTGGTTAAGTTGAATTGGATTTGAGGTCGATCTACCTCAGGGCTGTAGGTGACCTAGAGTTGGTGGTGTCGGGCACGGTGGGGACTGCGGGGCTGGGGCCTGGGCATTGGTATCCCAGCTGTGGGAGCCTTGGGGAGCTGAGGAGGGGAACAGATTTAGGAGCTCAGTAAACTGAGCAAAGACAGTTTGAAATGCGGGGGTTTTCTTTTGTGCATATATCCCTTTTGGGGTGCTAGCAGCTCAGGGTGGCAGTGCTGCACCACCCTGCAGGCATGTGTGGAAAGCTTTTGATGCAGCCCATTGTGGGTACTTTTAACTTAGCAATAGTTTCTATTACCTAAATCAGGGGCTGGCAAACTTTCTGCACAGGGCCAGGTAGAAATACTTCGGGTTTTGCCACGTACAGTCACTGCTGCTGCTTCTCTTTCCTGTAGAAGTGTAGGCGCCGTTCTTAGCTCGTGGTCTGGCCCACACGGTCCTGGAGCCAGGCACCACTTCTCCTGCCTCTCGCAGTAGCTCATCTCAGTGGAGGGGGGTCTATGGGAAAGGAGCTGTGTTTGGGCCCGTTGTCTCCATGGCCGTCTGCTGGTGCATAGTTACAGCCACTGACTGTCTTTGTTCTGAAGCCTGCAGCCGGCAAGGACCCCAGAGAAGCTCGAGAAGCTCGAAGTCATGAGGAGCCAGCAGAGGAGATCAGCAAGAACATTGCTGATTTTGGACGACAGCAGCTTTTGCCCCCCTTCCCACCCCTTCATCAGTCGCTACCTCAAAACCAGTGCTACATGGCCACCACAAAGTCACAGACAGGTAAATGCCCTGAGTGTGTGCTTCAAACCTGCACCTGCCAGACTAGAACTGCGTTTGGGAGTGCGAGTGTGCTCAGCATCAGTGGCGCTGGGGTCACAGGTCCTTCTGTGCTCTCTCTCCTGGAAACCTGCAGGCCAGGCAAGCCTCTCTCCAAAGCCTCCTCTCATGCCTGGGCTGCCTTCCTTGCTCGTTGGTAGTCTCACATGAAGATTGTTTCATTACTGAATCCTGCTGCCTCGGTCATCCTGTTGGCGGAAGACGCTGGGCTGGAGAGCTCCCCGCGGTGTATTGGGAGACCAGTGGTGGAGGTTGTAGAGCTGGTGGTTTGGTTCCAGCTCTGCTGTCCACCACTTTTCCTGTGGCAGTTCTTGCTCTTCTGAGCCCTCTTCTGCTCATGGTGGCTGAGCGTGTCATTTTGGTTGGGTCCTTTAGCAGGAGGTGGGCTGAATGCATGGCCCCACAGGAGGGTGCCGGTGGATGTGCCTTGAATGGGGAAGCGAGAGCTCCCTTTTGAGCCTCTAGGACACAATTCCTGCAGGCAGGGTGACTTGCTTCAGAGGAGAAAGGCCCTCAGTGTGAGGCCTTTGTGCACGTGGGGCGCAGATTTGCAGAAAGGATCCAGGTCAGCCTGGTGCCTGCGTGCGGAGGGCTGTCCACCTAAAAGGCTGGCCTGTGGAGTGCCGACAGTTGTAGGTGCATATCTTCTTCTGGACTTTAAAGTACTTTTTCCTCATAAGGAACGTTCTGCAAAGCATCTTGTGCCATCACATTTCAGTACCTGTGCATAGCTTGTGACTTTATTTCTGAAATAGGAGCCTAGTTCCAGACATTGGCCCCTTTAACCTCTAGATATTTCAATGTTGTTTCCTAAGAATGACAGTGTAAAGCCCCTGAAATAAGGGCATTGCGTCATCAGGATGTTAACCTCACCACAACACCGTGTCCAGCTTTTTCCTGTTGGCCTGCTGGTGCCCTTTCCAGCAAAGGAAGCATTTCTGGTCCAGGTTCCAGTCCAGGGTCTTGCAGTCACTTCATTGAGTGTCTCCTTAATCTGGACCGCTCCTCATGTGGGTGTGCAGCTCTTTTCTGGAGTCAGCTCAGGTCACGTAATATCATGGGAGGGGTGTGTGACCACCATGGCCAGGCCAGGTCTGCAGGTCCCTTGGTCATAAAGCTACTGTTTCCCAAATGGTGATCAGTATGTGTCTTGGGAGGAGGGACTTGAAGGCTCTGCTCACCTTCCACCAGGTGGTGTTAGCACCCAAGGACACCTGCCCAGACTGATCGCACAGGGTGGTCTAACTCCATCATCTCCCCATTTATTAGAGGAGCTTCTCCCGGAAGGAAGTGCTTCACTTGCCCGTCCATTTATCTTTTTATTTCAAATAGGACTTGTTACAGGATGTCCCAGGGTTGCCCCTTCAGGCTGGCTCCTGAGTCCCTGACGTCGCCCCATTGCTTCATGACAGTCGTAGGCTTGGTTGGGGGCTCCACCCTTCCTGTTCTAACCGGCTGGTCCTGGATGTGACTGCTTCCCTGGGTGCCTCACTTACCTGGGTCCCATCCTGTCTGCTGGAGCCCTGGGTGGTTAGAGAACAGCGTCAGTCTGTCTCCTCACCCCCAAGTTGTTGGCTGTTTTGACTCAATATTATTTGTTTCAAACAGTTAAATCTGGCTCTTTGCACAACTGTGTGGAATTATACAAGTAAGTCAGTGTTTCTGTTAGTGTTAAGGTCTTTCCTGTTTTAGCTTTATTATTTTATCATCTTTTAAATCTGAGTTTCCTGAGAAGTGCTCCGTGGACTTGGCAGTTTCCCACAGTTAATCCTTCCCCAGCTTCCTCTCTACTCTTCCTGTCCGTCATCTGGACGTGGGCTGCTTATTAGCATATTAGTTTTAGGCAGTGTAGTGTGTCCTGTGGTTACAGGTACTCCTCAGCCCCAGCTGTTCCTGGTATTGTCACCTGCAGGGAGGCAGAGGTTCCAGTTCCCATGTTCGCAGGTATCTTCTGATGAGGGAGCACCCTCGTAGCCACCTGGCCGTATTGCAGTCCCAGTGCACCTGTCAGTCTGTGGGAAACCAGAGAGCCTGCTCAAGACGGCGATGGTGTTGTCTGCTCAGTATGGCCCTGTGGACATAGCCCTCTGTGACAGTGCTGGTACAGCCTGGAGTGGGCACAGCTTCTGTCTGCTTTATTCTGCAAACCCCACTCCTTCCTCTGCCCTTTTGTGCTATGTCCTTGAGGGAGGGGTGTTGGAGCTGGTGCATTAGCGGCCTCAGAAAGTTCAAGGCTGCAGGTCCCTGTAGTGATGGTCCCGGAAGGTTCTGTTCTCTTCCAGCTGGGCTGCACAGGCAGGAAGGTGAGTGGGTTCACAGGTAGGTTACAGAGCACATGCTGCCCCCCCACTGTGATTACGGCACTCAGATCAGGCTGGGCACACCTGTACTTGGTGCCCAGTCATCTGCTCAGCTCGAATTTCCTTGTGATGAGTTAGGTGTTCAGAGCCCCCACCAGGGGGCCCACCCCTCGCCTGGCTGAGGCGCACTGCCCCCCAGGCCACTGCACAGTGCTTGCCGTCTGTACTTGTGCGTGTCTCCCTGCTGTCTTTTCTACACTGTGCATAACTAAAAAGGAGGCATTTTTTCAGCCCTTTTTAGCAGAGTTTCTCTCAATGATTTTTAAACCCTGGACTTCTAAAAAATAAAATGTTGTTGAGAACCTCATTCTGTGAAAGGAGGCAGCCTGGTGCTGCATCATCCAGCGTGGCCAGCCCCTGCTCAGTCTCCCTGCTGCTGGTGCTCCACGACCCCAACCCTTGCCCCTGTGTCCTCGTGGACATCGATAGGTGCTTCACAGGCCTCTATCCCTTCAGTTCCTGGACTGAGCGAGGAATAGGGTGGCGGGAAGGTCACTGGGCACTGCTGCCTGGCCATTCTTTAGCGCTGGACACGTCTAGACGTGTGAGTCACTTCTCGTTTGGGTGAGAAATCAATCTCAGGAAGATGCCCTCTTTCCCCTCCCCGTGGCCAGCAGGAGATGACTCTTCCTTGGTCCTCGCTGACACCTTGGGCCTTGCTGCCCCGCTGCACTGCTGTTCAGGGTTGGGGGCTTTCAGGGTCATATTTGCATTCATATGGCTCAGTGTTTTATTGTGAGTTAACCAGACGGCCTGTGAAACACCCCTGCCATCCCCCTCTGCAGTTAGGACAGGCAGCCTGTGCGTCCCTATGTGGTGTGCTAAATGGTGGTCAGGTCCTCTGAGCTGTCACCTACCTTGAAAAACATTTGAATGGCATGATTTTCCTTACTTGTCTCCTTTTGACTGTTTTTTTTTAGCTTTCTTGCCTTTTGTTTTAGCAGCTGCAGTGTCTCGGAAGAAGAAACGAAGAATGGGGACCTACAGCCTGGTTCCCAGGAAGAAGGCCAAAGCGTTGAAGCAGAGGACGGTGGTCGAGATGTTTAAGAGTATAGCTCATTCCACTGCGGGCGCCAAGGTGAGGGTAGCGCTCGCCTTGCTTGCCCATGTGCTGGGGGTCCTGTCTGTGTCCACCTCCGTGGCCAAAGAGTGCTGGACAACCTCCTTCCCTTTTGAAGGACCCCAGGCTCTGAGGCACCGCTGTTCTAGGCCTCGCCTCCTGCCCAGGTGGTGGTGGAGGCCCACCTGCTTCCCATGCTCCCCGCCACTTGTCCCGTACACCTGCCCTGGTGGGTTGTTACCAGGTTGTCCTGCTCCTGGGCTCTGCGTGACGGACGTACCCCTGCCCCTGTTCCAGAGCGAGAAGGACCTGGGTGACAGCACCCTTCATGTGAATGGGGAGAGCATGGAGATCGAGTCAGAGGAGGATGACTCTGAGGAGCTCGACGAAGACGAGGACCAGGGCGCTGAGCAGGCTGCCGCTTTCCCCACGGAGGACAGCAGGACTTCTAAAGAGAGCGTATCGGAGAGTGACCGCACCCAGAAGGTAGGCCTTCCCCCCCTCGGGTCCGGAGACTACAGAGTGGACCATTGTGAGAGTGGTCCTGTGAGTGTGCCCTGAGAGTGGGCAGTGGGGGCCCTGTGAGGCCATCATGTCCTGTTTACGTCTCACGTGGACTTCTGTGTTTATTTTTCTTGAATTGTTAGGTCATTTTATTTTTATTAGAGAAGTGTTTGTCTCCCTGTACAGTGTTTGTTGAAGTGCTTATTGAAATAAACGTATTGAGCTCCTTAGGCTCTAGGTTGACAGGACTCAGTTGATGGCTGACTGTGCTCATGAGGGCTGCTTGTTGTTGGCTGAGGCGTGACTCACCGTCCACAGGTGCTGTCCTCCCGCAGGTAAAGAGCTGATGGGGAGCCTCTCCTCCTGGTCAGAGTTAGTGGGTGTCCAGGGCTGTTGAGTTACATGCCATCTGTTAATGCCTGGTGTATTCCAGGTGGGCCAGGCCTGTCCTTGTCACATGTCCACCAGAGGACCAGCTCTGGGAGGTGGCAGTGTGGTGGCTTGGTCACAGCAGCAGCAGCATGGCCCCTGTCCACTGGGCCCTGCCTGCAGCTGGTCCTGGGGCCCAGCCCTGTTCCAGGGTCTCCATGAGCACTGTGTGGCTACAATTTCTGATCCAATGGGGATGTTTGGGCATGCCTGTAGGCGCTCAATTCTGAGGGATAGACTAAAGAGGGGGCACATTGGGAAGCTGGCTGATGTAGATAGTTTTGATTTTACTGTTTCACGTATTAGACTTTTCTTAGAAAACTATCGATCATTTTTAAGCTGGACTATCTTAGCTGATGAGTCTAGTGTTCCGTAAACCCCCTGCTAAATATCCTTTGCCCGTTGTTCGTATGTGCTGTGCATCTTTAATGGTGCAGTGTCAGGAGCTTTGTGTAAAGGTGGACAGTCAGTTCCCCAGGTGTGGTTTGTCTTCTCGCCCTGCCTGTGATGTCAGAGCCCACAGAGACTAGTCTTTTGATGCATGATTCCCAGGTTCTGCGTTCTAATTACAATAGAGTTTTCGGCTTATTCAACTTTTGAGTAAGTTGATGTAAGCTGTCTTCTTTCATTTTATTTATTTATTTATTTATTAATCCTCACCGGAGGATTTTTTTTCATTGCTTTTCAGAGAGACTGAAAGGGAGAGAGAGAGAAACATCGATCTGAGAGAGAGACATCGATTGGTTGCCTCCCGCAGGGGCCTGCAGCTGTGGTACATGCCATTGGCCGGAATCTATCCTGGGACCCTTCGGTTCTCGGCCCGACACTCTAACCACTGAGCCAAATTGACCAGGGCTAAGCTATCATCTGATACTTAGTGGATTTCATTTTTTGTGTATGAGTGTTTGATTCATATAGAATTTATTTGGTGATAAAGTATAAAGTAAATACACTAAAAAGTGACTGAATTTTATGGACTATAAATTATATCTCAAAACTTAAAATAAGAGGTCAGGGTTCCATGGATCCCCTCAAAGTGGTTATCCACGTGTGTCAATAGCATTTATTGACTGATTTACTTTCCCTGCTGATTTAAAAAGCCATTGTTGTCATACACAGTATGGCATGTGAATGTGAGTCTGTGTCTCGATTCTTTAATTTGATCAAGGCTCTCATCTTTAAGAAAGAATCTGGACACTGAGTAACTCTAGGTATAGCTATGAAGGAAAAAATTAAATGAGTGTCAAGCCAACAAAAGAATCCAGGAACAAAGTGGAATGAAGAAGACACTGTGGTCAGTGGAAAACAAAATAAGATGGCAGGAAGAGATCTAAGTTAACAAATGTAATAGAGAAAAACTGAGTTAATATGGGACCATTCCAGTGAATAGAGAAAGACAGGTAAATACACTGGCCCAATCTGAGGCTGACATGCTAACTACAGTGTCAGTCAGACACAGCTGAGCACCTAACACCCTAACTTCAGCATCAGTCGGACACAGCTGTGCACCTAACACCCTAACTGCAGTGTCAGTTGAACAGACATAGCTATGTGTTCACAGTGGCGATGGTGCGACGTAGACTCGCTCAGAGGAGACTGACTGTTCCTGGCACCTGTTATCAGGACTTAGCAGCGTGCAGATCCAATGAGCAAGGCTGGAGAGCACCTGTGTGTGTCTCAGAGGCGTCTTGTAAAGTCAGCTTGTGTTTGGATTTGGCGATTGCTTCATGATTGCAGGATGGGCCAAGAATGCCACACCTGATTGTCTCCTCTCTGCCCAGGCTGAGCATCCTGTGCCTAGTTGCGCCCTCGCTCTCCCTGTCTCCAAGGGTCATCTGTTCTGTTTTTGTTTGTTGCATAAATAGAATCCTGCCGTGCACATTTTTTCTAGTGTGGCTTATCTACGCAGTGTTATGTTTGTGGGATTTATTTGTATTGATATTTTTATTGTTACATCACAGTGGTTTTAAAATGAACTTGGTTCTCTGAGACCATCTCTGGCAGTCTTGGGGTCAAAAGTATATTTGTAAAATGCTAAAGTGGTAGTTGCCTTTTAAATTCTCATTTATTGGAGCTATGCTGTGATTTGAACATTTGTCGGTTTAAATTTCTGTGACAGTAAATGTTAACCAGTATAACACATTAACAAAAGTGCTCTGTTGGTCTCAGTAAACTTTCTTTTTAAAACAAGAGTTTATTTGAGCCAAACTTGATGACGTATGCTGGGGAGAAAGGTCCCAAATGCTCCCTGTTCTCAGTAATTTTTAAGAAGATAAAGTAGTCCTGAGACCAGGATGTCAAGAACCAACAGAAGACACATCTTTTTGTGGGGACTCTGCTGACTGTGTATTCCACTGTCATAGGCATTGCGGTGCTACAGATGATGTTGCAGCGAACACCGTGGGTACCAGGTACACACCCGTGAGCGGGATCGCGTCACACGTGAGCACAAAGGCACAGCTCACGGTGTCTCACTGAGATCTCTGCTAGCCATCCACTGGTGTCCGCCGCATGGGGGCCTGCAGGACATCTTGGGTCAGACCTGCGTCCCGTTCCCAAGTGGTTGGTGTGTCTCCAGTTTGTCCCGTTAGCTGCCTCTTGCTGTGAAGTGCCTGCTCTGACTTGGCATGTGTCTAGGGGGTTGGTCACCTGTCCTTTTCAAAAGTCCTTTGGTAGGAAGTGAGGCCCCATTGTGTGTTGCCAAAGGATACCTCCTCCCACAGCTGCCGCCTTGGAAGCCAGTCACAAGGTCTGGTCATGTGGCAGGCAGCTGGGGGTCTCAGGCATTTTGGGTGCTGTGTGGGGAAGCTGCACCTTCGCTTCCTAGCCTGAGGCTGTGGCTGGGCCTCGTAGCCAGAGTTGGTCCTCCTGGGTCACGGTCTCCTCTGGCCTCCCGGCCCCTGAACCTTTACGTGCTGGGTAAGGGCCTCTGTTGAGCATCGGACCTGGTGGTGCCGGCTGTCTGTGGTCCCTTCTCTTCCCTGTTTCCTCGGGTTTCGGCCTCGCCTTCTTTGTAGCTGCCGTGTGTGTCGTCATCCCACAACCCTCACAATCATCCCACTCCTTCCACATGGTCACTCACATGCTTTGGGAGGAGCTGGGTAACAGTTGTTAATCTGCCTGTTTTAGTGGGTAGCTTCAGTGTGCAATCTTTTTAAAATTTAAAAAACACCCAATGGAATTTAAAGATACCATATTAAATAAAGGCTATGCTACTTAATGGTGAGCGTTTTAGATCATTTCTAGGATCAGTAGTAAAAAGGGGGAGGATTGTCCCTTCTTCCCACCGTGAGCTCTGCAGCTGATCACTGAGCTCTTGTGGGACGAGAACCAGAGGAAACATTCATATTTGAAAGGACCGGGGAGAAGAGTTTGCTGAGAGTGGAGCCATCCTCCAAAAACCCAGGACGGCCAGCTGAGAAGCCTTGCAGCTGGAGCAGAGCTTCCTGTGCTGCCCCGAACGTGCAGAGCCGGGCAGAGTGCAGCGGCTGCAACACCAGGAAGCGCCTGGGACCTAGATTCTACAAGGAAATGTGAGATGTGCAGGCACAGCAGACAGTGGCGTCACCAGCACCGGCCAGTCTTGTTTGTCCAGGACACGGTTGTCTCGAAGCAAAGACTTCGGTGTGGATCTTTAAAAGGTCAGGACTGTCTGAGAAACAAAACCACAGTATCACACCTAAAAACTATAAAGTGTGACTATAATTATAAAAAAACTACAATTTTCTAATGTCACCAGCATACTTAGCAGTAAATTTAACAGGAAATGTTTGTTGCTTAGAAGAGGAAAACTAAGAATTTGCTGAAAGAGATTATAAAAAATGACAAGTTTGTGGAAAGACCCATTATTTGTCTGAAAGAGAAGGACTGGTGTTGTATCTCCCTGTGTTATCCACAGATTCAGAACAGTCCTCGAAATCCTACAGGACTGTGTGGAGCAGCTGCTGTGGGGATTGTAACAGCAGGAGTAGTACCAACGGGACAGTGACCGAAACTGGACTTGTGAGGAGTGGAGGAGGGTGGGAGCGGTGGGGTCCATAGCCATCTACTTGTATGTGAAGATAGAGTTCATTGTGAGAATGGGGTTTCCATTTGTGGTCTGGGGACTGTGACTCTTCAGTAAATGTTGGACAATTGGCTGGTCTTTGGGGAACATAGGTGTGGACCCCTGCCCGATGGTATGTAACAGATGCAAATCCTTTCCAGAATCTGTTGGGGTGGCAGTCGCACTCTGAACACACTAAAAACCACCCAGCGGGACACTTGAAATGATGAATCTCAGGTTAAGGGAATTACTTCCCAGGAAAGCTATTATTTACAAAAGCAAATTCCAGAAGACTGAAAGTGTCAACACAAAATATTGAATGGCGGAGGAAAATGTTTGAAACTATTCTTCTGATGGCCAGTGAGGAAGGCCTCCTAGTGCAAGGCACAGAGCCCGAAGGCACGGAGCGAGAGACAGGCACGTTCAACAGGTTCAGATGAAACCTCAGCGTTTAGGTGAGGAATTCCAGAAGCAAAGCTTAAAGCACTCCACACAGGAAATATTTATAACACAGTCAACAGACAGAGTGTTAGGATCCTGTGTGTGTGGCTTCCACGAGTTAGTAGGAAAGCAAGAACTTGGTAGAAATGCGGACGGCGGGTAAGGCCCGCGAGACATGGCATGAGATGGAAACGAGGAGTGACGTCGGGAAACACTGTTTTTGTCCTTGGGGATGTGTGACTCCTTTGGAGGCTGCTGGTGCCTTTTGAGCAGAGCTAGTGCAGCGTTCTGGGAACTTCCAGAGTGTCCTGTGCAGGTGGCAGCACCTGCCTGGGGCTGGCCCTGGAGGGTCCTGGCGGGTCTGGGACACAGCCTCCGTGTGGAGCTGCAGGGTCTGTGCCGTCTCCGCGCCCCAGAGAGCCTGGCCCAGTGTGTGCGTGACCCGCCCCTGCCTTGGGGACTGGGTGAGAGGGGGCATGTGGGTGACATCAGTCCCTCATTGTATTTTAATGTCTTCTGAATCGAAAATTTATTCGTGTATTACCTGAGTACGTCAGATAGAAAAGGCATATACGGCAGAAAAAGTAGGTATCTGTTGTTTTAATGTGGAAAGTTCCAAAACACATTTTTAATTAGAAGCAAGTAACATTCACAAAACTGTTTGGTGGCCCGTCCTCTGAATCGACAGGAACGCGCTGTGTTCAGGCCAGGTGTGTGACTGCCGGCTGGAGCCCTGGGGTGGACTGGGCTTAGGTGTGTGGGGCGGGCTCATTTCACATTCTCCTGTGCCTCTGAAAGCCTCTCTCTGTGTCTTGTTACTCTGACTGAAAGCTGCCTCTCAGTGCGCCAGGCGCACGCAGCTTCCTCGCGGTCTCCCATGGGGCAGCCATGCGCTGGGGGCGGGCCCCTGGGCGGGCAGGCGCTCTGTCGCCTCACAGGACCCCCCACCCTGCCAGTGTTTGGAAAATGTGGTCCTCCGAAGGGTCTCATTCGTTTCTGTTTTGTTTTTGGCTCGTTGTGCGCCTGGTCAGATGGACGGCGAGTCCGAAGAGGAGCAGGAGTCGGCTGGCACCGGGGAGGAGGAGGAGGAGGACGAGTCGGACCTGGTAACAGTGGCGCGTCTGCCCCTGCCTAGCGCGAGGCGGCCGCTCCCCGTGCGCCAGGGCACTGGGCGGAAGCGGGGCCTCAGGATGCAGGCAGTCAGGGCCCCGCGGTGCCTCCTGGGTGTAGTGGGAGCTGGCCGCAAGGACTGTGAGGGAAGGAAGGCCGGAGGGGTCAGGTAGAAGGAGCGGCACCCGTCTGTGGGCTGGGTGTCAAGGGCAGTGAGGGATGGAAGCGGGCGCAGGTGTGTTGTTGTCACTGGGCAGCCAAGTGGAGACATCACGGAGGCAGGGCCATGGGTGGGGATGGTGAGCTTGAGAATGGGAAGGGCGCCAAGCCTGGGCACCTCAGCCAGGATGGGTTGGTCCTGAGACCGAGAGGGTCTCCGAGCTATAGGGAGGGAGCTCGGGGAATTTGGGGTCATTTGGGCTGAGGAGCGCTCGTGGGGAGATGTGGGTGGTGTCCGCCTGTTGGTTGGAAGAGAAAAAAGGGCAGACACGGACTTGGTGACGGTGCATGAGGTGACAGCGAGCTTTGGATGCAGTGCTTGCTGCAGGTCTTCCGAAGTTTTCCCATCAAGGGGTCCCCAGACGGCAGGGGCAAGGGTGGCGGCCATTCAGAGGGTCACCTGGGCAGAGCACCCCTAACCCGGGGCTCCAGCACCAGAGCAGTTGGCAGAAAGGCCAGGCCGCTGCACCTGGTGTATCTAGTTGTCTCATGAACACATTCTTTTCAATTTCTCCATGTCCACAGTAGGCAGGAAGCCTGACATCCTTGAGTTAGACCAGTTACAAGGGCTGGCGGTTCGTGCTGTGCGTCTGTCTGTCATTTGTGGCAGGTAGATGCCCTTTTTCCACCTAGATTTTAGAAACACTCAAACAAATCTTGACCAGTTAGAAGTGCATTAGACCAGTTAGAAGTGCACTAGTCCCTCTGCCCTCGCTCTGCACCAGACGTTGATTCTGAGGCTGAGGCGGGAGGCAGCACTGGTCCTCTCAGCAGAGGGAGTGCACCTGTGGGTGTGGTTCTCCCTGAGCTCATGCAGCTCCTAAGCGGAGCTTTCTCACGTAGTCTTTCTATGCCAAACTCAAATACAACTTACACATCCTGTTTTAATGTTTGTGGCCCTTTTTGGGGCCCGTAAAATAACAGAGCTTAGAGTGATGTTTGGGGAAAAGCGTGGATATCTTTTTAGAGTGGAACCCAGAAAAATGTCTAAAAGTGAAATTAATTTTCTAGTTGAAGAATCAGGTTGTAGCAGGTGTTTTATTTTGCAAGGAAACAAAACTGGAGCACTTGGCTTTCTGGAGTCCCTGTGCTTAGCTGTTCCTGTCCTGCGCTTTGGTTCTCAGAGCTCCGAGTCCAGCATCAAGAAGAAGTTTCTCAAGAGGAAAGGGAAGCCTGACAGCCCCTGGGTCAAACCAGCCAGGAAGAGGAGGCGGAGAAATAAGAAGAAGCTGAGCGGCGTGCTAGGTAAACGCAGATACCTTTGGGTGGGAACCAGGCCCAGAAGCTGGCAGGAGGTGGGGTCTATAGGGTTTAATCAGCACCGCACCTGGGGGACCCGGCGTTCACTGTCGTGCCTTTGAATGCAGGTCCTGAAGCCTACACATCGTCTTCGGGAAGCACAGAGCCGGTGGCACCCGGGGACAGTGCGGGGTACATGGAAGTGTCCCTGGACTCCCTGGATCTCCGTGTCAAGGGGACGCTGCCCTCACAGGCAGAAGGTGAGCCTGGGGCTTTGTCGGCTGGGCTTTGGCTCAGTATTGACGTGATGCCCCCTGGTGGCAGCAGTGGAATGAACGTTTGGTGAAATGCATCCTGAAGGGGGCTGGACAACACCTGCCCATGTCACCGCAGCACTGTGAGGACACCCTTGGGTGAAGAAGCAGACGTCGTGGGCAAGAACAGCCTGTTGGTGCTCATGTCTTAGGCCACCCCTGGAGGCTGGTACCTTTCATGCCACATTCCCACTGAAAGGCCTCCTCCTGCTCAGTTGTGTCAGAAAATGCCCAGGAGGCATCCTTTTGAATGCTGTGGCTTCCTTCGTTGTTGTCTGAGTCTAGTTACGATTGGCTGACACATATCTGCTGGGTAGTTGAGCTGACAGTGCTCAGGACATTCTGTAGTGGGATACAATCCATGGTTAGCGCTGTTTGTGGTGCACGGCGGCTCCCGGGAACCAGTCGCTGGGGCCAGGACTACAGCCATCCCTGCTTTGAAGACAAGTAGCTGGCTTCCCATGGTCTGAACACTGGAGGAATTTTACTGTCTCTCTAATTTAGGAAGGCACATTTCTAGTTTAAGACATAAAGTGAAGGTTTATTCAGCTCCTGTTCTTTTTCACACACAATGGAGCAGAGCCCGTCCCCACTCTCACAGGTCCCGGCAGAGGTATCCAGCTCTCCCTCCAGACAGTCACGCTGAGCACTTGACTTTCCTATAACCTTCTGTTAGGTTTGCACGTAAGCAGGAAATGTATTTCATTTTATCAAACGGCCTCAGCTGCCGTGCTTAGGGGTCAAGGCAAGAGGCTGCGGTGCACAGTGGGAGCAGGGTGACCGTGGGCCCCCGCTTGTTGTTTTAGCGGAGCAGCAGAGAGTATGGGGGCCGCCCACCTTCAAGTCTGTGCTCTGTCTCATCAAAGCCAGGGCCAGACTGGTGAGGGCCAAGGTGCAGCAGGAGGGAAACGGCTGAGGCTGTCTGAGTTTCACGGCATGTAAGCTGCCTCCCAGAGTCGATTCCGATCCGTCCATGATTGATCTGCTCAGTTGTGCTTCTGATTTGGAGAATCTTTTTTTTTTTTTT